CGGAAATTAATTTTTATCCTGTGCTAGCAATGACAGACTCAATTATTATCTATACTCCTTTCTTATGATGACCCTCTTAAACATTACATTAACTAATGTAATATTCTTCAAACTAGCTACAGAACAATATCTGAGCCTTAAAAAACAAAGCCAAAATATAGAAACCGATTCTCTCCTTGTGGCATAGTTGAACAAGTGTTCAGACCAAACTTTAAAAATTAATTTCCGAGTACACAGCATCTGAAACTACTTTTTTTGCCCTAGCAGTGCTGGAAGAAGAAATATAAAGGGAAGGAATGCATGCTACATAGTTCACCAAGTCTTACCTATGTTCAAATATTTTATTTTAAAACCTTGCTCCTCTGCTATTTCTCCAAGGAGCTGAATATAGTCTGTATTGGGAATACTGAGGGAGCTTATCTTCAACAGAGTAATTTTTTCGCCAGAAGAGTTCCTTAAGCTATCCCAGGTGCATCCCAAAGTATGCATTTGTTCTTTTCCCTGAAACAAATGAAGAGGGTTTAGATTTTGCTGCACATTTTAATATTGCTTTGTATTTAGTCATGTAATCAATATTTTTTTAAATCCTGAGATGAGAACCTATGATGCAATACTTTGTGTTTTAATTAGAAAACATGGAAGTGCAATGGCAGGACCTGTCTGTAACTCTTCAAAGCAGCCAAATTATGTTCTAGTATCATTAAGATAATAAGGGAAAGTTTTCACTGTATGTGATCCTGGAGGCAGACATGCGGCTTTAATGAGTGGTGGAAGGTGCTGCTGTATTCATATTCCTGGTAGTGCTCTTCTGAACTGAATTCAAAACACTGCACAATTCTAAGAAGATGCCAATTCAAACAGTTCTTACAGTTTTCTCATGGTACTATGAGGCTACTCATCAGTTCCGGCTGACGGCAGATTGAGGGAAAGAGAATGTCTATTTCAGGGCAAAGAGAGTTAGTTGTAGCAGCAACACCAGAGGAATCACCTAGCCAGTTTGGTGATTAAGTAAAAACTCTTTGATAGGTTTGGTGGATTTTCCTAAAAACTGCACAGATATTTCAAAGTTTGTGTTTTAGGAACTTGCCTTTAAATAAAAATTAAACGAAATACCAAGGCTACTTTATTTAGAGAACAGAATTTAGGCAATACTATTATTGAATATGGTAATTATAATTTTAATTCATGTGCCAATCCTTTTATTGTGTCCATGTTGAGGCCAAGAAGAGAAATGCATGACTTGCAGTCTCCAGAGATTTCTGAATACTGTTAGTCATTTAAATTGAAATAATTTATGAACAGAGATTAATTTACCTATAGTACAGTGGTTCCCAAACTTGGCAACTTTAAGACTTGTGGACTTCAACTCCCAGAATTCTCCAGCCAGCAGAGCTGGAGAATTCTGGGAGACAAGTCTTAAAGTTGCCAAGTTTGGGAACTACTGTACTATAGGTAAATTAATCTCCAATTGATCTTTTATCCTGGCTGCAGACGCTTATCTTTCAGTAACAGGGACCCTGGCAGGCCACTTAAAAGATGCTAAAACTGGGAAAGATTGTACATGGATTCTGTAGTAATGATAGGTTAAACGTTCCTTGCAAATGAACCAGTTCACACTGGATTTTCATTAAAAGGTAACCATGCTTATCCCCATTAGGACAGTTAATAGCCTTTTTTCATGGTCTGTTTCCTGAATGAGACAGTTTGGCTAATGGGTGAATATTCTGCTGTTTGGCAGTTCTAATCCTGAGATACACAAATAAAGTGAAAATAGGATACAAATCTAATAAAATAGTCTAACTTTTAAGAAAAATGCCTACGTGCTTTTAAAGAGGTTTTCACTTTAATGTACAGTTATAGCCTTGATTTAGACTTTTTTACTCTGCCTCTCCTGGGATAATGAGTGGTGGAATGTGCTACTGTATTCATATTCCTGGTAGTGCTCTTCTGAACTGAATTCAAAACACTGCATAATTCTAAGAAGGGGCCCAATCCAAACAGTTTTCTCATGGTAGTATGGGGCTACTCATCAGTTCCAGCTGATGGCAGACTGAGGGAAAGTAGAAAGAGAATATTGAAAGCAAAACATCTTACATTTTCAGAAACACAATAAAGAACAGGACAAAGTAAAAATCAAGTTGTGTTTTAATTAGCATTTCTAACCGACTGGGTGGTAGTGGTGGAGACCTATTGTAAAGATAACAGCCATTTTTTTCTAGCACCTGAAGAGAAAACATTGCTTTCTCTAGTGCTTCCAGAAGGTAGCCAAATGCAAGAGAGGACCAGCATTCTTGAACCTCCGATCATGTGCAGAAGAATTGCAGATTATCAAACTTTCTGTAGCATTTAAAATAATATGCACTGTAATTTATAGCAAATAGAAATGCCTTACATTTCTATTTGCTATAAATTTGCTATAAATGAATTTGGTATTCATTTGGATACCAAATGAATATGTGAGGTTTATTAGAATATTTATATTAAAAAAAAACTCATCTCTGTTGAGAAGATGAAAAGGAGCTGCAAGTGTAATTAGTATTCATTTATTTAGTGTATGTCAATGTTATATTAGCCAGGAGACTTCAATGCTAATAGAAAGTAGTCACTTGGCTGCCTAAGTAATTATTGGAGGGATATAAAGACTTTGTTGACTGCATCTATTCACCCATATAAAAAAGATATTGGATAGTGAAGCCAAACCAAGAAAGCGGCTGCCAGAGAATAGAAAAAGTAAGACCCACAAGTGTTTACAATGAAGTTCCAGTGACTATAACTCCGAAGACTTGATTGTATCCCTCCAATCCTCTCCAAACATTGTCACCAAATTGCCATTGTAACAAACATAAGAAAACTATTCAATGCATGGGGAAACTGCTATATTACTTGTGTTCGATTAGTTTTTAACCTGATGCATTTTCCTGCCCATACCTTTTTTTATGTCCTAGCACTGCGCACGACTGGTAGTGCAACCCTCAAACCGAGGGCCAGGAGGAAAGCTTTATCTGAATAGAACTGTACCTCTTGATTTACAAACAATCCTAGCTTTTGGAGGGAACTGCGGGGTTCAACGCAATGCTTGCTTACTCACAAATAAATTAAACAATGGAAAAGTGAAGAGACCCCAACAGATGAAAATGTGATTAGAAAAATATTAGAATGAGCAGAAATGGATAGGCGAAAACAATTAAGGAAAAGAAAGAAACTGAATACTTTTTGATCTGGGCCTTATTTTATCAATGGCTAGCTGACAAAAACAGGAGTTAGAAACAGGGAAAAATAAGCAAAGGATCAATGATAGATGGGAGGTATGTTAAAATGGTTAAGTAAACAACATTATTATTATTATTCAGACTGGGTTTGGCATTTTTGTCTACATAATTGAGTCCTTACCAAGGACCTAGGATAGGCAAATCTGGATGTTTGACAGTGTTACAGATATT